CTCAGGAAAGTTGCATATTGGACCAGGATTGACTTCCAGACTATTTGAAACGTCACAAATCATGCTCCCCTAAAATCAGACTCTCAGTGAGCACAGAGAAACTTTCCACTTTGAGTAGATTAATGTGAAAACATCTTTCTAGTGTAAAACTGCACATACATCATTGAGCACAGTGAAGTTCAAACTTCCAACTGTAGGAACAAGAAGAAAAAGATATTTTCGAGTAGAGGGGGACTTTTAAGTTTAGATACAACCCGGCTAGCTGTTTCCCCCCTTTCCAGTCTTTGTGTTAAAGCAGTGCTAACTATCTGTTGGCTGTAGCTTCATATTTACCATACACAGAAGTATCAATCTTCTCTCTGCAAGAAAGCCTATTTCCCAAAATGTCGAACTTTAAGGTGGATGTTAGAGACAGTGACTGCGGGGCTCTTACCAGGGCAGATTTGTCTATATATGGAAAGGCTGGGTAGAGTTACGCTGTGGTGTTTTTAACCACTAGTAGCGCTATGGACCAATGTTTTTATGTGTGGGGTTTTGTTGCATGCAACTGAGGACACAGGTGACCTATTCCCCGCTATCTGTCTAACCAACAGTTGATGGCAATAATGTGCAAGAAGCAACAAAGCTGCTGCAAAGGCAGTGAAGAAGAAGACTGCTAGTATGCAAACATGGATGGAAATAATGTTAAAATTGGTTTAACAAATATGTTATGCAGAAAGAGATGCATTCAATGTTTGTTAGATCTAAAAGATACACATGTAATTGTAAAGTTTTGTTAGTTGACAAGAAACCTCCACAGGGCACCTTTTAATGTTTAAAAAACAAATTCATTTGTTAAATTTAATTTATACTGTCCTCATAAACAGGTTGTAACATGCAGGTTGTTTACAGACATCCTTTCTTGGAATTAAGAGGCTACACAGGTTAATGATTTTTATGTTAAAATATTCAGCTTCATAGGGGAATGCATTAGCTTACTCTTAATATTTATTTTAAAAAAACTTAATGCATTATGTCTCTTCACACTTGGCCGCAACCTGCTAACAGCTCATCAAATGTGACCCAGCAGAATAAACTCTCAGACCTGCCTGCAGTTTAATTTATGGTAACCACACTGTAAACATTATCCAAACACAGTACGTAAGCTTAAGAATATACTGTATTTACAAAACGTATTCAACATCACAAACTTGTATGAAAACTAAGAAAACAAGGATGCATTAACAATACCATAAAAACACTCAAAAATACTAATACCATTAAAGCAAAACTAATTTTACATGAAAACAAATTGAGATTCTTTTGCACTTCCAGTTGAGACTGGCGACCCCATCACCAACATTTACCAAATGTTTTCATGTTGCAACTGACAGGAAGGCACATCTGAAACAACCACGGCACAAATATATCCATAAATAAACATAAAAAACCATTTAAAACAGACGTAAATACAACTTTTAAACAAAATTCTTCATGCACATTTGACTGGTGGTTATACAAAGGCTGATGTAGCCCAGTTTAAAAGGTCAGGAGTGACACAAGGAGATGCTAATTATCACTAGCAATAGTGTATCAACCCAGTAACTTCAGTTAACTTCACATGCAACCATTCTGAAACCCTATTATTATGATAGAACATTACTCAGCACACATTTGTATGAGATATTTCAACCCATCCTATTAAGCCACAAGTCTGTTTAGAGCTAGAAATCAATTGTGATTGCCGTCGTTTTTGGAATGTAAACAGATTATTGCTGTTTCTGACCAAATGTTTGTCTCTTGCTCTGGGCTACAAAAATGTGAAGGGTACTCCAGCGATTAAGCACTGCATTCCTATAAAATCGACAGACTCCTAAGTCCTTTAGGAAGAGCGCCGGGATTGGAAGCCAATTTGACATAGTGGCCAAACCGTGTGATTACAGCAATGGAGTCATTCACGTGATGCACCGGGGGCCCGAAAAGACATTAAACGAAACAGCTGTAAAACGGTGGATACATTCTTTTGAGCATCACAACCCCCGCAAATGACTTGTTTCATCAGAATTTGATCCATTCGGTCCAATAACATTTAAAAAGTCTAGAAGAGCCACACAATTAAATATTTTTTTCCCCCCATTCAAGTTAATGGAGGGCTAAACCGGAAGCTAGCAGCTTGGCCGCACTCAGCCACGCTTGGCAGGTGAAGTGTCTAGTGTGCTGCTCCACAATGCAGAAACATATGCGGAAGATCAGCGTAATATTATGTTAGGAAAACTAACTTTTTTTAGCTTCATGTGCCACCAAGCAGCTTCCATAAGAATGAACGGAGCCCTGCCTACGACGCTGTATCCAGTTCTCCCTTAAAACATCCATGCTCACAGTGAACAGCTTATATAAAGAAGGATCAAAATCAAAGCAGCAGAACCAGAGATTGTCTCCTCTTCATCAAAACTTGATGACACCTACATTACCCACAATGCAACTCAACCACCAACGATGTGTTATGCTAGTAGCAGCTAATGTAGCCTCGAGTCGCTACCCTCAGTCAGAGATGAGGAGCGAGCTACAGAGCTGAGCTCCTTTTTCTGACGCCATGTCCTTTTTTCATTCAACTTTTAGTCTTCAGCCCCAACCATCGCTGACTCAAGTGACATCGATCGAGGCAGTTTGACAGATTTCGCGCAGCTCCCTCTGGAGCAACAAGAGGCTCAATACAACCTTTTTTTCACATATGCAGTAGTACTCCCTAAGACCTGTAAATGCGTAACAACGGTGGAGTTCCCTCTGAAGCATTTCAAATTTCAATCTGTTTGTAGGAAAACAATCCCAGTAATTCACCGCTAATACAGGGAGGTCTATACACAGACACCTGGCCATGTGGCCATGTTGGGGACTGCCTCTTCCACTGTGTAGAAGATGGTCCTGAATGGTTCACATAACAAAAACTAAGGGAAGCGGCTTGGTACTGCTCTTTATCGAAGGTGGGAATTTATTATATATATTTGTTATACTTCATCCTTAAAGTATTTTCTCTTGTAACAGCAAAACATAGTTTGGAAACAGTCAAAGCAGAAATCTCATCTTTGTGGGGCTTTTCCAAGTTTTTTAAAAAAAAAAAGGGGAATGGCCTTGTTGCGGCACCTTGTGGCCACTGGGGGGTAAGACCCACTAAAACTGTTGTTCTCACCAACTGTAGTTACAGTGGGGGCAGTAATAAGCCCACCAGTGCTTGACGAAGAAGACACTGTACTAGAAAACCTACTTGGACAAAGGAACAAAGGTTACATTGTTTTATTGAAAGTGCTGTCAAAGAGTATGTTTCGGAAAAGACCACTCATAACCCTATTTACCAAAATTAGCACATGTATGCAGGTTTTTTAAATGCAGGTAAACCTAAAAAAATAGGTGACTGACTCCTTCCCCATTGCCAAAAGACAAGTTTGCCTTTTTTTGTCTTTTTCCATGTGCCATGTCATGTTACTAAAAATGTTATTTTTTGATATGTTGTTGTATATCTCACTGTCTGTATCTCACAGTGGCAGTAGTCTTGCATAGCCAGACCTAACTCCACAGTGCTCTCCTTATTCCCTCTTCCCCTGCAATCAGGAGCAGCTCTCTCTCTCTGTCACTCACTGTCTTTGCCAGTGTTACACATGGCACGTTGTTCCCATAGACTGTAAAAAAAAACAATAAACAATGTAGAACGTGTGTCAACGCCTCACCAGAAAAGGGAAAAAAATGAGCGTGTCCACCCGGGTGTAATGTTTCCAACACTGCCGATCGGACCTGGAGCCGATGAATACCCCTCACTACTGCACTCATTTGACCCGGGAATAAATACCGATTGTACTCCTTCCCACTGAAGACAAAAGCCAGATGTTAGTGGGTGTTAGTGGGCTTTTTGTCCAGAGTAAAAGGGGCTTAAGATGAAGCTGTCAGTATACTTAAGAAGTTTGAGGGTTTCTATAAATTTCCAAAAAATGGACAATCCAACATTCACACCCACTTCATGTTGTGATTAGTCAGAAGCACAGAGGAGGGAAAGGAGCCAGGAGTGACTCTCTCTAGCTCTACTCTCACACTCCTGTGACTTTTCATGGAAACAACCGACACTATGAATCTCTTTCCAGGAGACGCTGTCTAAAAAAAGTAGGCACAGTTATCCCCATATTTAAATAATATCACGCCTCACTGAAGACCGGCTTCTCACTTCCCCTTCAAGTGTAGCCGTTCGGAACAACTAAAGACATTTTGGATTTCAAACATGATGGGACGATATGTTGTGCAAACTAGTTCTGATCGAGCATAACCTGAAGCCAAGGACTAACTGTATGAATAGGAACATAAAAGGCAGCCGCTTCCCTAAACACTTCTACTAGATCCATCTGGTATCGTCTCCCAAGCAGTGAGACCAGATGGGGCTAAGAAACACCAGGCCTCTTTGTTATTCATCCAGTCAACAGACTTGAATGGTTATCAGTATGATAGCTCGTGAATTATAAGGAGCTCAGACTACTTTGTACATGCTCAACTTTAGCATTGTGATGAGGTAAACTACTCATGGCACAATGAGGGAGGACAGACCCCAAAATGCAACAAGGATTTCTAGCTCCAAACTCAGTGTGCTGGGTTCACGTCCTGGTTCTGGTTTTGGTTGAGATTGTTGTTGAGATTGTGGAGCGCGTGGTGACGTTGGTGCCGGTGCAGGTGAATGGCGTTTGACTCGGGTATGTCAGTAGGTGCGAAAGCGCTGGACACCAGGGGCATGAACTGGCGAAATATGCTGACGCTGCCATGCCAGAAGGTCGGCTGAGGTAGTCGTCCGGCAATAGTCCATGTGCGGGTGGCCGGGTCGTAGGCTTCCACCACATCTGACAGTTCAAACGTATTGTCGTAACCACCAGACACGTATAATTTACCGCCTAGGACTGCCACACTGCCTCCAACGTGGACCTGGATAAAAGAAATGAGATTAAGAAAATGTAGTTTGTTGTAATACATGAACAAATAATTACATATGGTAGTAATGGAAAATTTAAAGCTTTAAAGTTCTTCTTATACTCCATTTAAATTATTCAACTAATAAGTTCATGTCATATCACTAATGCACTAAGGCGTTAATTACATTTCCTACCAATGCTTGAAAGTAATCATACTGGCATCATTCATCCGTCACCTTTGCTGTATTCAGAAAATTAAAATAACTAGTGACAAACTGCAGTATTTAAAACAGCTCTGCTTATTATCATCTTTGAATTAATGGCAGTGTTGTCGACACTTCTCATTATTGTGCTAACAGACAACAGTCAGATGCGAAACACAAACCTGGGTCATCGGACTAACTTTGTCCCACTCGTTCTTCTGAGGGTTATAAACATCAACCTCAGCAGAGTCATCCCTACAAAGAGAAACACAGCAAAGTTAAGACACTGCCAAAACAATCATTGCTTCAAATGTATTCATACTAACTTTACTGACTATTGCAACAACTCTGTCAGAAGAATAATCAGAACCATAATCAACAAGAACCAGCATAAAACATAGACATTGAATTTAACCATATTTAACTCCCTTTGTAAATTTGCACAGTGGACTGTCACATCTATGACATGATTAGGATATTTTGTACCTTGACTTTCTCTATTACATTCTCTATTAGTGGTCTTGTATTGTCATTTATCACAGCAGGAAAGAAGACAACCATGAGTACACTGGCGCACCCATGTGGTAGAACAACAGAATGACTGTTGCAGTATAAATGCCTTTACTCCGATCCTTTTCTTAAGTAAAGTATTAATACAACAGTGTAAAAATACTCAATTACAAGTAAAAGTCCTGCATTTAAAAACCTACTTTAGTAAATATTCAGTATCTAAAGATAAAAAGTACTTGTTCTGGAGAAAGATCTGAAAGATCTGACCTTGTGACTGTTATAAATTACATTATTAATACTGATGCATCAATGTACAAGCAGCATTTTACTGTCCTATCTGGTACTGTTCTGATACTCACATTTGGATTAATCTTTGAAACAATTCTCAATTATTTCTGTGAAATATTGTAATTTTATCTCAAACAGTCATTTAAATGAAAATATTTGAGAAGTTTAGAGGGAGAATTTCTCTTTTTGGTGAAACTGACGCAAGTAGATGCTGCTTTTTTTGTTAAGGGATCACAAGCAATAAGGTTGGGACAACCTGTTTAATCTTAAGCAATGTGTTATATTTAGTAAACTCATATCATTCCTTTATGTAAAATCTTAATCTGAAAACTAACTGGTAAATAAAGGTATCAAATGTAGCGTAAAAAGTTGAATATTTACCTCTGAAATGTAGTGGAATAGAAGTATAAAGTAGCATGGAAATACTCGTACTCGTAATACAGATACTAGTATCTGGATTAGTATCTGATTCTGCAAGTAGACTCTAAATAATGGTAAATAAAAGTATAAAGATTTAGTTTGGATATGTAGCTCACCTGATAAAGTAGATGAGGCTTTTGAGGGTCACAGTTTTGGGTGTGAAGGACCATGGAGGCAGCTGTCCACAGCTGACCATGGCCCAGCGGTTTGTGTCTGCATCGTAACTCTGGATGGCCATGGTGTCATCCCCAGTCAGGGAGCCTATGGCGTACAGGCGTCCGCTGCACGTAGTGGTGGAGCAGTTGTCCATGGGGTGCAGCATGGGCGGTAAGGCCTCCCAGCAGTCCAGAGCGTGATCGTAGCGTTCGGTGCTGTCCGACGCCACCACATAGAGCTGACCCCTCAGCACGCAGGAGCTGTGGTACTCGCGGGCCTTCAGCATGGGTGACACCTCTGTCCACTCATTGACGCTGGACTTGTAGCGCCACACGCCATCGTAGAGGCGAGACCCATCAGAGCCACCTGGGGGACACACACATGTTGTCTCAATGGTGCGAGTGCATCAAGGATTTTTAGCAGTATTTTGAGCATAATCTCAAAAGACCTTTCATATTTAAAAAAGAAGAAAAAACTTATCTACATTTTAAAAATCTGCGGACGTCCTGTTCATTTCGTCTTTGCAGTAGCTCAGTTTATGAGTTTAGAATATTCCAGACAGCCTGTCATGCAGCTATTTGCAGTCCTCCTCCTCCTCAATCTGTCCAACTGTGAAGATTTAATATTTCAAGCTACTTTGCTGTGTTTAAAAAACCCAATGTACCTTCTAAAGGTTTCAATTACATTTTTATCTAAATTTAAATTAGCCCTTACACCAATATAATATCATACATAATATCCCAAGTGTTATTTCAAAGAAATTGTATCCATGGTAATGAAAACTAAATCCTCCTCTGTCAACATTATGCAATCATATGCTGCTGTTATTTCTGTCATCGAGGGAGTGAGCTAACACTGCTAAATTTATGGCCCACCACCAATGTCTTGCAGGAGACACAAGCTCTTGACTGAACGACTAGGATGATTTATTATGATTATTATGATTATGATTTAGGGAGACAACCTCTTTTCAGGATAGGCCAGTCCACTGGTTATGAAGATGAAGATAGTGATGGTGATGATAGCACCACTGATGTCCTGGCAGCACACCATGTCCTGCCTCCCTTTCCCTTGTTCACACATGGTGAGCCACTAGCCAAAGTTTATTTATAAGCACATCCTGACGGCCATTTCCTAAGATGAAGGAGCGGGAATGGAAATCTACTGACTGGAGCTTTCACATTACAGTGAATCTAATATACACAGCAACTGTAACCACCGCACACCGTCTGTGCTGTGACTTGGCTTTCAGTAACTGGGACACTGCACAACGCTGAACTCTGAACTACAAGAAACACACAAGAATCTGATCCAACATTAATTTTAGGTTGAATGCGTGATTGACATACCGTTTACTCCATTCACTTAATAATAATGAATGAATAATGACATTTGTCTTTTCATCAATATTTAGAATATTTGGCTTTGGATGCCAACCACTGCTCTTGAGATAGAAAGTTGCTTGAACCTCTTTCAATAATTTACCTGAGACATACATATCGTTTCCGAGGGCAGCGATGCTGTAGCCTCCTCCAAGGTGGTCAGGGAACTCAGCCAGGTAGCGCCACTGTCCGGTTTGGGGGTTGTAACAGTCCACTGTGACCAGCTCATCACAGTCCTGGTCGCAGCCTCCTACCACCACCAGGATTTCGGCCAATCCCGTGGATGGCCGTGGCCGCATACGGTGGCAGGGCCTGTCATGGCGGTCGTACTCACAGGACTGGAAGCTACGAGCTTCGTTCACCATGCGCAGGCAGGTGGGGGAAAGGTAGACGAGTGGGTCGCTCTCCACGTGGGCCAACAGAAAGAACCTCCTGACGAAGGGGAGTCGGACCTGTTGGAGGAGCTCGGGCCAGTAGTGCAGTCTCCGCTGAAGATCAGCCTTCACCCAGCGCACCGCAATTTGATAAACCGTCTCCTCCTTGTCCACGCAAAGCTCATCATCTGACACAAACTCAAGGAGGCGCTTCCATGGCAACCGCTCAAAGTCCATCCCTTTGGCCAGCTCCATTATGTTTTTCAGGACAAAGCAGCGAGCACTTGTCGCCAGCTCTCGGCAAGCGTAGGCCTCTGCAAAGTCCTGGATCTCTAAGCAGTTGGAAACATCCAGCCGCTGCTCCAGAAAAGCACAGCAGGCCTCTTTGACAGAAGGGAACTGAAACAGATCAGCCGTCTTCAGCAGGACGTCCACATTGTCCTGAGTGACAGTGACCCGTCCTGTGTAGCAGAAGTCCACCAGCAGCCCTAAAAGCTCAGCTGACACCTCGTGTAGAACCACCCGGTCCATTGCACTCTCTCTCAGAGTTCCTGCGAACATAGCCCGGAAGTAGGTACTGGCAGCGGCCAACACTGTGCGGTGACAGTGGAACTCGCGTCCCTCAGCACACAAAGTCACATCGAAAAACTTTCGTTCGGCACGGAGCTCATGGATTCCCCGCAGTAGGTTGAAGGCATGGGCCGTGTCGAAAAAAGGCAGGGTGGATGGTTGTGTCTGTAAGACCGGCTTTTCCATCTCTCCTCTCTCTGGGTGTCTTAGTTTCTGGTGGTTGTGCTCAGAATGTTGTTTTCATCTAAAACAGATAGACCAGAAACATACATCAAATTCAGTTTCATGCCTTTATGTTACAGGTAGGGCTGCAACTAACAACTATTAGTCTATCTTGATCAATGGAGTAACTGAGTGGTTTGTCAAAAAATACTAGACAACAGTCAAATCCCCAAAAATAATCAGTTTACAATCGCTCAAAATCAAGGAAAAGCAGCAAATCCTCACAACTGAGAAGCTGGAACAAGGTTTTTTTTGCTTTAATGATTTAAGGATTAATAAAGTAGTTTCAGATTAATTTTGTCACTTGACGAATCAATTAACCAACAAATCATGACAGCTCTGACAGCCCATACCATTGCCAAACATGAATCTATATACAGTGGTTTATAATGGTGAAGGAACTGAGAAATGGCTATGATGACATCTACCAACATTCAAGAAAGTTTCACAGTTCAGGTCCTAACAAAGATTAAACTCAAAAGAGACGTATGAATTTACATTTCTACAACCTCAGTGTCTGATGAACTGTCTAAAAGCAAACACCATCAGTTAAATACACTATTTTAGAAACTATACAGCCAGACATGTAAGCAATGAAACTGGCCACTGACTTGAATAAATCAAGATTTTTTTAAATAAATAAAACCAAACTGTTCATTCCCCTACCTGACGAGCCCTTCCAGGTACGTTTCACAAGCAAAGTAACAGCACAGTCTGGAATACACGACGGCGAAGCTCAGCACGACTCTGGTGAATATGACCAGCTCCTTACTCGTGTTTAAGAAAGAGAGCTTGTGCTCAGGAGCTATAAATACACCAGCAGTGTCCATTTCCAGGCAAGCGGGGGGGTTTGGGAGAACACCTAACATACCGTGGTCTGATGCTGTGGGGAGAGTATAAACCCCCCCCACTGGTATGTCTCTGTGGTCAGTCAGCGTAAGTAAGTGGTCTCTGAGAGAGGAGCCAGCTAAGCCCGGGCCTCCTCACCACCACGCTGACGACCAAAACACAGAGCTTCCTGTCATAATATTCTGCAATCAGCTCACCAAAGTACCACAGCAGCACAGTCCTGTTCTGATCGCAGCGCACAAACAGGAACAGGGGCGGCGCAACTGTCAAAAACAGCTAACGTCAACATGTTAGAATTAGTGAGATATTTATCTCTATGAGATTCAATGTACTAGGACAGTGCAGACATGCAGAATAAATCCAACGTCTTCCATGTTTTTGTTTTGTATTCTCAATCTCACAATGTCTGTCCAACACTTGGGTCCAGACTGAAATACGTCAACAACTATTGGATACATATTCTACATGGTCCCCAGAGGTTGACTCTTACTGACTTAAAAAAAAAGAAGAAATCTAGGAAAATTGTGATGCGCACTTCATACCATTTTCTAAACAAATAATCGATTAATTCTCAGACAGAAAATTGGCAATAACAAATAGTTGCAGCCCTAAAGGCCTTGGACTGCGGCAAATTGTGCACACAAATAATCAAGAAAATAATAGGAACTGATTATAGATCTGATTATATTCTATAGATGGAGGGATTAATCAGTCAGCCAATTTGGTATTGTGAGATAATTGGCATCATCTGATGCCTGCGCTCATGAGGCTGATAAACAAAGAAGCCCTGTCAGTGTGGCTGCTGTGCAACGATGTTAGCGCTCCCCTCTGTCAGTTTTGGGAAGGTGGTGAAGTTTGGAGCCCTGTATTATAACTCTCATACATCCTGCTATAAACGTTTGCCTAAATTTCCTCAGTCCCCAACGTCGTTTGTAAATGCTAACACTTTCCTCCCATCCTAAAGGACAGTAGGTCTAATCTAAAACTGTTACTGGCTAATATAACCATGTATATTAGATTGTAATGTGCATGGAATAATGGAATTAAACATTTGATATCTGCATTGTATATCAGTAGGACTGTGTATTGGAGAAAACCTGGTGTTATGATACGTATCATGATACAGGGGTTACGATTCATTACATCGTGATAAATTGCGATACTCTGAGCAAGGCAATGTATTTTAATACATTTGAAATTTAAATACAATTTTAGGAAAATGGTCAAAGTATAAAGAACACACCACCATATGTATAAAATAGTGTTTTAGAGAATCCATACAATATCACAAAACAAAATATTACGATGTATGTATGCATCAGCTTTCGGTCACCTTGCTCTCCAATTATTGGGATCAGCCATCGAAAAACCCACATTAGTCAACCACTTTCACATTTTAGTTATTCACTGGAATGAAATCACCAGGACAAGAACAGACACGTGAACTCACTGAACAAAACAAGTTGCTATGCAGTTAGTAGGAACCTGCATTAAAGGCCTGTTTAGGATTCTTGTCAGTATTTGGAGATGATCATTCCTTCTCAAAATACACAGGTATCTCCTTACAGAGATTTGTTTAAAGGTTGTATTAAAGCCCCTCGTCCTCTGGCCGAAGGTCTCGGCACACATTCCACACAGGGGTTCAACAATGCAGCGGTGTGCATGGCTCTGTGAGGGATCAAACTTCTCTCCTGAAAGGCAGACAGGACCTCACAGATCAGACCTGCACTAAAAAAAACATCTTCCCAACTTCTGTGCAAGTGATTGTCTTTATGGTAGAGGGGATAATGGAATTTCCTTACATAGACGTGATGAGCTTTCCTTTCCCTCAGTGGTGCATGTGACTTCTTACTCCCACTGCCTTCTGTTATAAAAACTAAAAATGTTCTTTTACAAACTCATCCAAATAGTATTCTTTCGCTGTTTTATTTCTTATGGCACATGATCACCAAGAGCTAAGCAATGATTTCTCAAAACTCTTCCAACAAAGTGTAGCTTAATACTGCCAACAGTCAGTCAAAGTATTGAGCAACTTGCAATCAGTGTGTTTACCAACCAGCTCCGAGAATAGCTGACAGAAATTTATACTCTTAAGGGAAGGGAGAGAGGGGAGGTGAGAGGGAGGGAAACAGTGGAGGTAGTGGAAACAATCTCTCTGCTATGAGTGAGGGGTACAGAGAGATCAGTGTAACACACAGTATATGACCTACACAGCCGGCTATATGGGTGAAAGGGGCCCTATGCCCCCTTTCATCACGGACCTTAACAGCATTAGCCTGTCTGCCCCGAGACCTGAACTCATGACCTGCAGTTATATTCAGGACAAAAACACTAAGAGAGGTACAATGCTGTTAGTCAGAGGACTTAAGTAACGTCTCGGTTAAAACTCTAGAGTCGTCTCATAGGAGGAGAAGTACTACAGAAAGAGCAATATTCTACGCAAACAGCAGTTTCTATACATTTTTATATCATCTTTGTGGCCAAACTCAATTCAATTTGTATGCCTCTGAATTATAACAGAAGTTATCTCAAGACACTTTTCAAATAGAGAAGGTCTAGACCGCACTCCTAAACAAAATATATCTATTTTTTTGTTTTCATTTTAATTGCATATATAAGAGTGGTTTAAATTGATATGACACAATTATAAAAAAAAATATAACCCATCAGGACAAATTATATGTTTGACATCATGCCGTGGAAATGGCCTGTGGGCTGGGAGTTTGAGACCCCTGCTCTAGAGGATGGGTGGTCTTTTCTATTAGAATGGTTGATGAGAGGGTCTATTCCTGTACTTGGTCACATGTAAGTGTATCTGTAGACTTACAATCATAACTACTGTAAATAGAAACTCTGCAATTATTTCGACAGTAATGCACGGACTAAATTAGCCTACTGAATCAGAGTTAAAACATCCAAGAGTATAAGAGTCAACAGACATGCTAGTGGGACTGTACTGTAAGCAGAGCAGAGATTTTTGAGGATCTATTGGCAGAAATGGAATATAATATTGATAGGTATATTTTTATTACTGTATAATCACCTAAAAAATAAGAAACATTGTGTTTTTGTTACCTCAGAATGAGCCACTTGTAGGCTTCAGATCACCTTCCATGTAGTCTGCCATGTTAAACTGTCATGTTTCTACAGTATCCCAGAAGGGACAAACCAAACACTGGCTGTAGAAAGGCCTTTCTGATTTTTTTGGGAGTGTTGCGGCCACAGTAGTTTCTCCTACACACTTCACAGCCGGTTGTCAAATACAGACAGGAGTGGTGTTCAGTTAGTCGCAATTTGCAACTTCACCACTAGATGCCACTAAATCCTACAAACTGGATTTTAAGGTAAATGTTAATGTCAGCATGGTAACATCCTCACAATGATGACATGCTGATGTTTAACAGGCAAAATGTTTGTCATCTTAGTGACCAATTAGCAGCAAACGCTGAGGGGAAAATCAGACTACATTTTGACCTGATGATGGAGCTTGGTAAGAACTTGAAGGATCAACAAAAATATTACAAATAATCCTGAGGGGGACGTCAATGTAGGAACCAAACAGTTATTGAGATATTTGAGTCTGGATCAAACAGACAAACTGTGACTGACATCCCTCAAGTAGAAATACAAAGGCAGAAGACTTTAAGGAAACAGAACAAAGCAATATTCAAATCTAGAAAAACAAGTTTGGCTTGATTTACTTCACTTCATAAAACTATGTGGCCTCCAAGAGTCCAAGTGGAGCTGTTGCATGTGAACAGAGTAAATCAAAAACAGACTCAGTTTACATGCAGGAGCTCACACTGTGTTCTCCGTCTCCTGGTTTGAACGCCAGTGTTGCCCCTTGCTGGTGCGAGCTTCAGGTACTACCGAAGACAATTTACATACAGGCTCCTTGAATGCTGTTTTGCATTTGTGTCAATAGCTCTACTGTGTGCAGGGACACTTTGAATATCACAGAGGATATGAAAAGAAGCACATAACCTGAAATCATCAACCCGTTGATCCGTTCTGCAACACGACAGCGCTCAGCCTCGTTGCGGCCCAGAACTGCACCTGGTGGGATAACAACCACACTAGGACAGCTGCTGTGTCTGCTGTCGCTCCAGGCCGGTGGGGGCCAAGGCAACCATCGGAGCGGAGTGACATAAACCCCTTGTTCTCCACAGCTGAGCCTGGTCTGGCCATAAAAAGGCAACCACACCACACTCATCTCCTTTCCCCACGGAGGAGGGCCAGCACGAGGCTACTCACAGCAAACAACACTCAGATAAGGAGACAGTGCGAGAATGGATATGTTGTTGGTATGCTGAGACCACCGTGTTTCGTCTGAATGATCGAAAAGGGTCTCAGCAAGCATCTGTCCAGCCAAGGGTGGAGTGTAACTAAGTACAGTTACTTTATCAAGAGGGACATACTGTACTTTTTTACTCCACTACATTTATTTCTCAGCTTGTAACACATATATGAACTAATAACATAGTGTCAAAGATTAAACTACCCAACCCTTATATAAAGTTATTATCATCTTTACCTAATTAAAAAGGTCCAGTGTGTAACATTTAGGAGGATCTATCGGCAGAAATGGAATATAATGTCCATAGGTATGTTTTCAATCACTTGAAAATAGGAATAGTTGTGTTTTCGTTACCTTAGAAACATTTTTATCTACAGAGGATGCGGGTCATCTTCCACACAGGCTACCATGTTGATACAGTAGCCCAGAAGGGACAAACCAAACACGGGCTCTAGATAGGGGCCATTCACGCGTGGTATTTAGTTAGTTGTGGTCTGCAACTTCACTGCTAGACGCCACTAAATTCTACACACCTTTGAAATCCTGCTTAATAACTCCTCATTAATATAACAATCTGAGGCACTTTGCATAAGGAATACTTTTATTTTGATACCTACATTCTGCTGCTACTAGTTACTTCCACTTCAATAAGAATTTCTATGTGTTTCTATGACTT